CTTCTATACAGCTCTACCTTCCTCTACTAGCTCGCTCGCCGTTGATGAGCCGACCAATACCGAGTTTAGCCGGCGATGTACTTCGATTTCCAGTGCACACCTTTGAAATATTGGTAGCAAAAAAATGACTTAGTGAGGTTTGAACTCACGCGTAATCTAACACTTGTCCTACGACGGGTACCTTGACCGCTCGGCTAAACACCAAGTATATGTCAAGACGAAGCTCAGATGATATCATGGCGAACTTTTGAAATGGGTGCGGGTGTATTTTTATTGAAAAACTCAGCCAATCAAATCGAATGAGTTCAGTACTGTAATATCCTCACAACCCGCTTTCCCGTGGAGTGAGGATATTTTGGCTTGACTTGATTAAAGTAACGCCACTCTGTATCCGGACGGGCTGAGTGAGGAGTATCCTCACTATTGTCGACAAAGGCTTAAGGCACGTAAGGCAGACGCCAAAAGAAGTGCAAAGCACATTGCAGATAACGACGGAAATAATTGCCAAGTGGTACTCTTCAAATATCTAGCAATTTGTATGATCAATATTATTTTGCAAATCGAGTACTACTCTGTATTTTAATTGTAACCTGCTTCGAAGTGTCACAGAAATGATGTCGGATTGGCCAACTTTCAACCAATTGGAGACATCAAAACTAAACGACGACGACGACGGGGAACAGAGTCAAAATATCAAATCACTTTCGTCGGGCGAAATACCGTAAAACACACACCCATTGAAATTACACGCACTAACGTACAGGTACATACTGTACAGGGTACATGGAATTACTGCAACGTTAACATGTCTTTCACAAGCCGTGATATAAGAATCTAGGCTCTCATGTTGCACGCTTGTTGATCTTCTCCTGGCAGAACTGACGGCATTTGTTATATCCTGGTATTCGCTGTGCACCGTATACTACGTATTCGATGTACAGTACAGTACTGGTACCGGTACCTGCATCCGATCTTCTACCGGGTAGAAAGGTACTATTACTGTCCTTCTCAATAACAACCCAGTACTTGAATTGATTTGCATGCTACATATTTCGACCCAGGGAGGTTAAAATATGTTCGACGTGATTTCTCTTACAAACTACAAGATCAAATGACCATTGTTTTGGGTGCCAGCTATTTTAACTTCAAGTACCCACGGGTAGATATTTAAAATTGGATAGGTATTGCATGCCTATCTGATATGGTACCACTTATCGCCGCGATCTGAAACCTTGTCTAGCCAATTAGAGGCCTCAATGATCTGAAGAGCTTCCCAAAAATTACGGTACCGGTACTGTACGGTACGCGTAAGCTCTTCACAGTAGTCGACAGCCGCGAGGGTGCCTGCCAAAAAAGAATCAAAACAAGGAGGTTTACTGAGTTTTCCACAATAAAGCTGGATGTTAAAAAGCGACCAATAAAAATCGAGGAAATCTATTACATCTCTGATTCTTTTCCACTCGAGTCGTTACTACTTGGTCGTCAGAGGAAGCCTTGTGCGGAGGAACATGTCGGGCGAC